TATTTATTTTATTTATTTTTCTTTGCTTGCGAAAGAATTAAAACCAAACCACCTTGCCCAGAAAAATCTCCTCGGAACAAAGACCAAACACCCTCTTAACACACCCCTCTCTGCCCCTGCTCCCGCAGACAACTTGGGGGGGGCGGGGAGGCAGGATTGTCCCTGGCTGGGGGGCACGGGGACAGCTCGGGTGGGTGCCCATTGTGGGCAGCGGGTGCTGAGGGGGGGCTGCTCTTGCTTTCGGCTGCGGCAGGTCGGCCTCCGGCAGCATGATGGAGAAAGGGCCCCCCAACTCCAGCGAAGGCCAGCAGGGCTGGTTGGCAGCCAGGAACGGCAGCGGCGGCTCCTTGGACCTGGAGTCAGTGGTGCAACCCCTCGCCCTGAACCCGTGGGACGTCGTCCTCTGCATCTCCGGGACCATCATCTCCTGTGAGAACGCCGTGGTGGTGGTGGTCATCTTCTACACCCCAACTTTCCGGGCTCCCATGTTCCTCCTCATTGGCAGCTTGGCCACGGCCGACCTCCTGGCCGGTTTGGGGTTGATCCTGCATTTTGCCTTTGTCTACTTCATCCCGTCAGAGGCCATCAGTTTGCTCACGGTGGGGCTCCTGGTCACCTCCTTCACGGCCAGCGTCAGCAGCTTGCTGACCATCACCATCGACCGCTACCTGTCCCTCTACAACGCCCTCACCTACTACTCGGAGAGGACAGTCACCAGGACTTACATCATGTTGATCCTCACCTGGGGAGCCTCCATCTGCTACGGGCTCCTGCCCATCATGGGCTGGAACTGCCTGAAGGAGCCCTCTGCCTGCAGCATCGTCAAGCCCCTGATGAAGAACCACCTCATCATCCTCTCCATCTCCTTCTTCATGGTCTTTGCGGTGATGCTGCAGCTCTACGTGCAGATCTGTAAGATCGTCTGCCGGCACGCCCACCAGATCGCCGTCCAGAGACATTTCCTGGCCAGTTCCCACTACGTCACCACCCGAAAAGGCATCGCCACCTTGGCCGTCATCCTGGGCACCTTCGCTTCGTGCTGGCTGCCCTTCGCCATTTACTGTCTCCTGGGGGATTACAGCTACCCGGCCCTCTACACCTACGTCACCCTCCTCCCCGCCACCTACAACTCCATGATCAACCCCGTCATTTACGCCTTCAGGAACCAGGAGATCCAGAAAGTGCTGTGGACCGTGTGCTGCGGGTGCTTCTCCGCCACCATGCCTTTCCGGTCCCGCTCCCCCAGTGACGTCTGACACGTCCTCCCCTCCCCAGCCTCCCTGCACCTTTCACTTACCGATTGCAGTTGGAGGATTTTCTTTTTTTCTTTTTTCTTTTTTTCCTTTTTTTTTTTTTTTTCCTCTCTCCTTTTCATTGCCAGAGACACATCACAGGAGCTCTCGGAAACAAGCAGCTCTTCCCAGCCCCGTCCTTTTGGGTACAACCCCTTCTCTTCATCTATTTTTCCACTTTTTTGAATTTACAGGGGAGAAAAACATATTTTTTATCCATAATATAATCTATATTTATGTGTGTGCATGAGAGAGACAGAGGGGGGGAGATCCTCATATTTTCTTTAAAACTATTTATGATGCTTTATTTTTTTAAGGGAGGCTGATACCGGGAATGTTCGCTCCCCTTTTGCTTTTTTTACAGCCTCGTTATTTACCTCAGATAGTTAAAATATATTTTGTACGTTTGGGGAAGGGGAGGGGAGACTCGTCTGCTGGAGGAGGAGGGACTCAAACCCACCCCCTTCTGCCAGTCGTCCATCCGTTCATTTATTATTTTTTAATTATTATTTAATATGATTTTAATGCCGCCCTCCCGCCGGCCCAGCGCTGGGGCTTGCTGCCCTCTAGTGCTCGCTGCCTTCGGGCAGAGGGTGCTGCCAGAGGCTCCATGCCCCCAAACCCAACAGCTTGGGGGTCCCCTGGGTGCTGCTCCCCCTCACCGTGGCACCCAGGTCTGTTTCCTCCCACCCCCCAACGCCTTTCTTTGCACAGGGACTGGATTTGCACTTTTTTTTTTTTTTTTT